TTTCATTTCAATTTTGGAGCTGTTTACAGTTTAAATAACTAAATATGTCCATACATTTCATTCTAACATTGTCACTTCAATTTTGAAATGAATTTTTTATGTATTAAATTTATTTTKCTRTTTTGACTGCMAATTAATCAAATTCCAAATTAACATTTTATATTTTTATGTTTTATATATTAATACATCTTTAAATAAATGCAAACAAAAAAAATTAAATGTTCAAATATTTTTTTTTTAAGTACACCACACGATAAATAATTTACAATAACATTATACACATTTAATTTTTATTTACAATTAAATTTATTAAATGATACTGAACATGTTCAAATATTTTATATTTTAAACATAATATAACAGTGTGAAATTATTTCCATACTGATACTATTCTTATATCTCTTTCAATTTCTTCGTCCAAATGATACAAATCTGTATTTGTAAAACAGCTAATTATATTGAGAGAGTTTAGGCCATTATAGTAGCTCCCCATGTATGTTTTTTCTACATCTTTTTCTTTTAATACCACTGGATACTAAAAAAAACATTTGTTAAGAAAAATAAATCATTTCAAATGAAAAATTATTCCATGCATATATTTTTACTGTTAGTTTTTAATACTTTAACTTAACTTAAAAAGTGATTCAGAAAATAAATATATAAGTTGATAAATAAATAACAATTTTAAAAATAAAATGTGTATAGCAAATTTAATTAACTCTAAATATAGTAGTTACATAATTCATTTATTCCAGAATTAATAGAATGCTATATTTTTATGGTAGCAAAAATTTCTTCACTTGGTAAATATAGCCTAGTGGCAGACAATTAATTTTGTGGGGGAGAAACAAAGTCCTCTATTTGAAGGCAGAGCTGGGCAAGTTAGTCATTGTTTTCAATTAGTTTAAGCCAAGTTACTTTAATATAAAAACTAACCAGGCCTGGCGAGGTACTGAGTTGAACTCTGTGGGCCGTGTAAAATCTAGGTCAATTTTTGATATGTTTATTTGAAAATGGATGGCCAGTTAAAATCCTTAAACTCAGTGGGCCGATACCTTGTCTATCCGGGTTAGGTTAGGTTACCATGTATATCTATACTAACTAATTAGTTAGAATATACGTTAGTTTCTGAAATTTTCCGAATTTTTAACTAATTTAAAAGTTGGTTTTTTTTAAAGTTTAACTTAAAAACTGGTTTGTTCAAATGTAAATAATAARTTATTTATCTAAAATTGTTAATGATTGAAAAATTAAAATAGTCACATTCTTGATTTAATAACTAACATCAGTTATTTACATTATTAGATCATAAATAATAAATAAAATGTATGACTTTTATTACCTATATACTATATAGGACATAGGTATATAATAAAATATATTAACGGTAGTAATATTTTATTCAAAATATTACAAATTAATATTATAAGTATTGAATTTTAATACATGTGACATTTCAAAATTGTCATTAGATCCACGTTTTTCATCAAATAATTGGCCCCCTGCATAAAAAGTCTGTTGACATGAGCACTAAAGGGGATACTTGTTTTATACTTGATGTATAATTTTTGTATTTCATTTGAAAACTTTTGATGGTATATACAGGCCAAAATTAATGAAGTGAGAATTAATTAGATATAAAAAGTCAAGAGTGTATTCATCAAAAAGCTCAAAAAGTACTAAATATGCAATATTAATTATTTATTAATGCAATATAATTACTAACTAGCTGTTTTTGATTTTAACAAGTTATATTTGAAGAATTTTGTACATTAAATTCAACTGTATATGTAGAAAGTTGTTAATTGTAAAAACTAACTAGTTAATTCCCAACTTTGTTGGATGGATTATTATTTCTATTAACATAGTGTAATATCTATGAAACAAATAGATCATCAATTGAGGAATAATCAACAAATAAATTCTATTTACTTATAAAAAAATAAAAAATAGTATTAGAAAGAGGAGTGAAGTAGAAAATTACTCTGAACAGAAATAAACAGCTGATAGATACAGCTAGACAGCTACTGATAAAACTGCATGGTAAATCTATATGTAAATAAATATTATTTAAATATACAACACAATATTCTGTAAAAAAGATGATGTGTTCTTGTAATACATCATTAACCTTAAAAAATTATAATCAAGTAAAATAATAAATACCTATCATCGTATCATACTACCATAACATAAAATTAGTTTCAATTTGAAATATATTTCTCACAACATAAAACAAATTCTGTAATTTACCATTTACCTTTCTCAACTGACGAATGTAGCCATTAGCAAGACCATAGAGTACTAAATTTCTTTCATCAATATTTATTGAGACTGGATTAAACCTTAAACAGACATCAATAAATCGTGATCCTTGTCTCATTGCAGAGAACACAGTGAATATATCTTTAAATGTTGCTTTTGGTCCATCTACAAGATAAAGTTATTAACATACATATAATATTAAATAAAATTTTTAAATTAACTAACTAGGTCGTGATATAGCACTGATTGCTTCATCATAACGACTTTTATTCCTTGCAAGTTGTCCAATTTTAGTAGTACATACATACATGTTACTATATCGAAATAGGTCTACTAAAGAAACAGCATTACAATAACTAAAATATAAAAATAACAAAATATTTTAATACATTGTATCAACTGAACAACCTTTTAATACATTATTGTAATGGATTACACTAAATTTTGAATACATGCAGCAACTACTTCAATATCCAATTTAGAAAGTTTAGAAATTTTGGATACATGATTTACTCCATCAATAAAAGGAGCTACCTGAAAAAGATTTAAAATTTTTAATTACATAACTATTACAACAATATGATGTAATGTGAAGAATACACTCACTTGTCTGGTAGTTAAATCCCACTGTTCATCTAAAAGATCTATTGCAGATACTGGTAATGGAACATCAAAATCCAATGGAGTAGGTGGATTACAGGAAACTTCAATTACATTTAAATAAATAATGGACTGTCGTGCTACAAAAACCATGATTATTAATATACTAATACTACTATCACAGTTATGTATGCTAATATGATGTACAATGTACTCCATAGTGTGCACAGAATAATTAGGGTCACTATTGCCTATTAACATTTTGTATATTACCCTATAAGTTAATAAGTAAAATAATAAAATTGTTATAGTGGTTCTAAGATATGTCATAGATTATTTACTAAATTAACCGTTAATGTTTAATTTGGAAAAATATGCCATATATATCTATAATATAAAAAATGTTGTAGGTATCACAGTGTTAGTTATTGAWATCCTCCATAACAGATCGACCGATTTTCATCAAATTTTCTGTGCWTATTTGGCAGGTCTGAAAATTCATTTTAGGCTAATTTAAAAATGGAATTGATCACCCCCAGGAGGTGCTCATACAGGAATTTTGAGATTTACGACAGAAATTTTTAAATGGTTGCTATGGGTTTTAAAGCTATTGTAATAATAATTATTGGTTTCCGTTGGTTAATAGTGATTGCTATTGATCTAGGGCATTTTTAATTAAATAATAAATTTATWAATAGTATTACCTATCAAGGTACATCTTTTGTACAGATTTAAATCATCCATTACTTTACTCATAAGACACAATAATTCTTCTTGAGTCTTTTCAGATTGGTCACTTTTAGAAAGAAAGTTATCTTCTATTTCTAAGTTTAACTGCAAAATATAGTAAACATTAATWTTTTATTTTTATTTAAACATGAGTTTTATACTAAGAACTARCACAAATGAATAATAAACTTATAATTAGGGAAAACATATTTTAAGTAAATGTAGACTATTGAAAGTAAGCCAAGTTACCAATTTAATGAAAAGAATACTAATTTAACAAAGGGCTTGGGAAATCCGAGTGATTCTTTTACCACAGGACACTTTAATATTCAAAAAGTAATTATATTTTTGAAAATTCTTTTTATGATTTCTAGTCGTTAAAATAAACATATTTTGTTGAAAAAATTACGTTTTTTGATTTTTACTTTTTTGAATTGCATCATATAGTTTTTTTTATATGAAAACAATATTATGTTATTAAGCGTCGATTACATTGAGCGAGTTTACAAGCTGATAGTTGGCTATTTAAGAAGCGGACTAGTCGGCTAGTGCGATTGTAATGATTACACGCAAAMSKTGTACTACTCGCTCAGTAGCCAACTAGCTAGCGAGTAAAAACCACGTGTACTACCCCGAGGCGGTTTGCCGTTGTGAATATTAGGTACCTACGTTTTAATTAAACTAATATTACGATTTTTAA